AACGCGAACGAACATGATAACTACACAAACAAAACAAAAAACTACAAATAACAAAGACTTAAAACACAGCTAATGTTATTTTTTGTCCACTCGTAAACACCGACTCCTAGATACAAACGATAACTTATAGCAAACAGACGACACTCAACCTAACAAAAAACAAAATCCGATCAGCATGTAAACAAGAGAACTCCCAGACAGCAAACAAGAACATAGACAATAACAAACACACAGACAACAACACCTACCACCCACTAACAAGTACAACTATCCACAGTAGTAAAATTATGTGTAGTGTTGAGAGAAGGATGATGAATGGCACCACAACCATCACTACACTATACTTACACCATACCCACTCGCTCTTACACCATATTTACCCCCCCCCCTTCCCCCTGTGTGTTAGGTGTCGTTCCTGGGGTCTTTTTGAGGGTTGGTGTAGTTGTGGGTGTGGTGGGTGGGTGTGGTGGGTGGGTGAGGTGGGTGGGAGAGGGGCAGAGGGTGGGGAAAAAGGGAGAGGGAAAGAGGGTGGAAGGAGGGAGAAGAAGGGTGATAAAGAGAAGGAGAAAACTTCAATAACCACTAACATTAACCATTAACAAGTAAACATTAACCAAACCATCATCAATAACTACTAACATTAACCAAACCATCATCAATAACTAACATTAACCAAACCATCATCAATAACTAACATTAACCAAACCATCATCAATAACTAACATTAACCAAACCATCATCAATAACTAACATTAACCAAACCATCATCAATAACTAACATTAACCAAACCATCATCAATAACTAACATTAACCCACACACATTAACCAAACCATCATCAATAACTAACATTAACCCACACACATTAACCATCATCAATAACTAACATTAACCCACACACATTAACCATCATCAACACAAGCACTCTATAAACACCAGGGACAATGAGATCCAATCCCCCTTTTAAAACTGTCATACAACACTACAAAGGTACATATAAACTCCATAATACAATAGAATTCAAACCTTTTCTATCAGAGTTATAATACTACTGTACTCTATTTAATCACCATCAAAACAATAATATAAACGACATGAATAATACAATCCAATCCTGTTTGAACACCATATACAGTGAGGGAGTTTGGTAAAATATATTTCATAATTGTTGGGAAGAGTATTGCTGAGACAAGGGTAAGTAACTCCTGGCAGGTAGATAGGGCGAAGTGACCTGACCTGACCTGACCTGACCTGACCTGACCTGACCTAACCTAACCTAACCAAATATCGATCACCTGACCCAAATCCCCCTAACTTCAACTTAAGGGGGTCACGTTAAAAGCAAAGTGTACTCGTATATGCTACAGAGGTCTTCGACTCGTGAGGAACTGTAGCCGTCAAGTGTCAAGACAGTGTCCCAAGCATTCACATCACCCCTGGAGTCTTGACACATTTATGACAGTCACTAATTATATGACAGTCACTTTTTGTATGACAGTCACTTTTACGACACACTGAAGCCTACAATCAGGAACTTTTGAACACTTACGTTAAAATCCACATGAGATTGTAAATAAACTGCACTAACTACACTGGATATATCATTTATACCCCATAGATTTTAACCCATTTCAACCCCAGCTGTCATGTGTTATAGCTCCGAGACTATGGGGGTATTGGCACTATGGTCATGGGGTGAAACTATGGGGGGGTACTGGCACTATGATCATGGGGTCATATATCCCTATAAAGAACTGAACCTATTTAAACCCCTATAGTCGCACTAAATCATTCTTATCGACCAAATTTTTCTCGTAGTTGCAACGCTAATTATACATCACACACACACACACACACACACACACAAACACCTCCACAATCAAACATGCCGTGGTGGAGGGGGGATGGATGGAGGCGGATGGAGTGAAGACCCTCCCTCCTCCTCCTCTTCCTACATCCATCCATCCATCTCCACCAGCAAAACGAGGTGGACCCGGCCCTGTCATTTTATCCTCCAGTCAAGCTAATGCCCGACAATTACCAAACCCGACCACTAATCCCCACCCAAAAGGCCTTTATGTTTTTTCCTTCATCCTCTAACCCGGCCAAGTATGATGGATGGGTGGAGGTGTGGGGTGGGTGGAGGGGTAGTGGGTGGTAGTGAGGGGTAGTGGGTGGAAGTGAGGGGTAGTGGGTGGGGGTGGGTGGAGGTAAAGGACGAGTGCAGGTGAAGAAGGGTGATTACAGGTGAATAATGAGTACAGATGAGGGATAAATTAGTGCAGGTATGAGTACAGGTAATGGGGGGGGGGTCTAATCCAGCCTCGTTCTCAACCACGAATAAACTTCCCTAAATTCCGGAACACACAAAAAAAATACGTACGTGTGTGTGTGTGTGTGTGTGTGTGCCGTAAATCAGGTCGGTTCTCACGGTGGGGGAAAATTAACAGTATCGGACTTCAGTGACTGGAGGTGCGGCCAATAACTCTTTAAAGGAGGTAAATCATAGTAGGAATTTCGGGGTAAATCACATATATCAATAAACCTTTAGTCAAGTGATTCTCTCTGAATTAATGTGTTTACTGAGGTTAAATCTGGGCTAGGAGGAAGCGGAGGAGGAGGAGGAGGAGGAGAAAGAGCAAGTGGAAGAGGAGGAAGAGGAGAAGGAAGCGGAGGAAGAGGAGGAGAAAGAGGAAGTGGAGGAGGAGGAGGGGCAAGTGGAGGAGGAAGAGGGGCAAATGGAGGAGGAAGGACAACAAATGGAGGAGGAAGAAAACAAAGATGACGATGGAGAATAGGGGCATATGAGAATAAGGTAGATGGATGGTATGAAGAGAAGGAAAAAGGAATAGGAGAAGAGGAAGATGATTCAGAGGTGGATTAAGAAGAGGAGGAGAGGAGAAGAGGATTAGGAGGAGGAAGAGGAAAGTATCAGGATCGCAAGAAGGAAAAGGTCAAGTTCCTTCACCAACAAGGACGATGCTAAGGACTCCTGACCCACCCTCCCTCCCTCCTGACCTACCCACACACCCTACCAATCATCCATACCACTAACTCATCCACCCACCCCACTCACTCTAAAAATCATCCACCATCAACCCCACTCACCCACCTACCCACCCACCCAGCCGACCACCCACCATCCCAGCGGGCCTGTCAAACACGTCAATCACCACCCTCAATCCCATCCATCAGCCGCATCTACCAGCAACCAATAACAGCAAACGTTACCAGCCAATCAATCAACCACATGAGCCTCCCCCACCCCCCACAGCAGGCAACAACACCAGCCTCTAATATCAGGGACACCCAAAAGTTACCTTAATATTCACGACCCCACAAAAGTCATGATAACGACAACAAAAAGGCCAAAAGTACAGGTACGATATTTAACGACCACGAGAACCAAACAAAAAGTCAACGGTACAAGAAGTTACACAACAGTACGACCACGATAGCAAAAGACAAACAACAGTACGACCACGATAGCAAAAGACAGACAACAGTACGACCACGATAGCAAAAGACAGACAACAGTACGACCACGATAGCAAAAAATACCGATGGTTTCTCATCCAATAGATCTAAATAAGTCGTCATCATCCCCAGAGATAAAATGAAGAAGTGTAAACAAACAAAACTTCAATACTTGACCCGTAAAAACATAAAGCTAAACAAAGCAAACAAAAGTTAAACAAGCAAACAAGGTGCAACGAGGCCGAGGGGATCATCTTCCCGCCCGCGGGGTATCAAAACGCGCCCAAATTTTCGCGCCAAATTTCACACTACAGCGTCCATTTTTTTGGGGCGGGAAACTTCATGAAAACGCCTGTGGCTTCCTAAGAGACTGAGATAAACGTCCATTCAGCTGATCACAGTCGTCGCAGTTGATCCAAGGCGCTACAGCTGATCCACAGGCACTACAGCTGATCACAGACGCTTCATCTGATCACAGGCGCTGAAAGTTATCACAAGCACCACAGCTAACCCCAGGCAATACAGCTAAACAGACACCACAGCTGATCTAAGGCACTACAGCTGATCGCAGGAGATGCGTTAGTGTGTATACAAAGCCTAGAGTTTAAAATTCCTCAGGGTTGAGTTGGCACCTTCATCTGCACGTGTATAAGCAAACAGTCAATGATACCTTAAGATTACCAGAGGAAGGGAGGGGGGAGGAGGAGGGGGGGGGAGGAGGAGGAGGAGGAGGAGGAGGGGGGGAGGGAGGGGGGGAGGAGGAGGGAGGAGGAGGAGGAGGAGGAGGAGAGGAGGATGAGCAATGAAAGAAATGAGGTCAAGGATGATGATGATGGCGAAGAGGAGGCGAGGGTAAAAGAAGTAAAAGAAAGGTGAGTAATGAGGGCAGAAGGAACGGGAAGTAAAGGAAGGCAGAAGGTAGAGGGAAGTAAAGAGGTAGGGAAGAACAGCAGAGGGAAGAAGGAAGAGAGGAAGAGGAAGGAAATGAGGGGAGAAGGAAGACATATGAAGGAGAGAGAGAGAGAGAGAGAGAGAGAGAGAGAGAGAGAGAGAGAGAGAGAGGATGTTGACAATGAACATAAAGTCGATGACGTTGACGAAGACGATGATGGACGATAACTAGGACGATGGTGTATGGATAGAGAACAGGGAAGGGGAAGAAGAGAATAAAGACCTAGAGAATGAGAACGGAGACAACAGGACTCGATCAATAACAAAACAACAACAGACGAGATTCTTGCTCTGTAAACAAGACAAAAAACAAATAAACTAAAGAAATCAATAAATAGTTGACAAAGACAGCATCAATTGGTTATGTTATGATGCATTTAGAAAAAATACTTTTGCCTCATATGAGTTAGGTCAGGAGAGACTGACTATACACACGTAAGTAATGAGAAACAATTCCCATCAGGGAAGTAAATTAATTACATCGACCACAGAAAAAAGCTGAGAAGGAAAGAAAAACAAAGAGGGAAATACACCTGAGTTCCGTGTTAGTCTTGTTAAGAGTTTACAGGGACGATGTTGACACGGGGGCCAGTGACCTCCGGCACCACGAGGGGAGAGGAGGCCTCCGGCTCTACGAGGGGAGAGGAGGCCTCCGGCTCTACGAGGGGAGAGGAGACCTCCGGCTCTACGAGGGGAGAGGAGGCCTCCGGCTCTACGAGGGGAGAGGAGGCCTCCGGCTCTCCGAGGGGAGAGGAGGCCTCCGGCTCTACGAGGGGAGAGGAGACCTCCGGCTCTACGAGGGGAGAGGAGGCCTCCGGCTCTACGAGGGGAGAGGAGGCCTCCGGCTCTACGAGGGGAGAGGAGACCTCCGGCTCTACGAGGGGAGAGGAGGCCTCCGGCTCTACGAGGGGAGAGGAGGCCTCCGGCTCTACGAGGGGAGAGGAGGCCTCCGGCTCTACGAGGGGAGAGGCCTCCGGCTCTACGAGGGGAGAGGAGACCTCCGGCTCTACGAGGGGAGAGGAGGCCTCCGGCTCTACGAGGGGAGAGGAGGCCTCCAGCTCTACGAGGAGAGGAGGCCTGGCTCATGAGGGGGAGAGGAGGACCTCCGCCTCTACGAGGGGAGAGTGTGAGGGCCTGGCTCAAGAAGGGAGATGAGACTCCAGCCCGGCGGGGGGGATGAGACCCAGCTCAAGGGGGGAGATGAGACCTCCAGCTCAAGGGGGGGAGATGAGCACTCCCCAGCCTGGCGGGGGGGTAGGATGAGACCTCCAGCCTGCGGGGGAGATGAGGGCCTCCGGCTCAAGAAGGGAGAGGAGACCTCCAGCTCAAGGGGGGAGGAGTGAGGCCTCCAGCTCAAGGGGGGAGATGAGACCCAGCTCAAGGGGGGAGATGAAGCCCAGCCTGAAAGGGGGAGATGAGACCTCCAGCTCAAGGGGGGGAGATGGAGGCCTCCCAGCCTGCGGGGGAGATGAGGCCTCCGGGGCTCAAGAAGGAGAGGGAGGACCTCCAGCTCAAGGGGGGGAGATGAGGGCCTCCGGCTCAAGAAGGTAGAGAGGAGACCTCCAGCTCAAGGGGGGGAGATGAGGCCTCCTGCTCAAGAAGGGAGAGGAGACCTCCAGCTCAAGGGAGGGGGAGAGATGAGGCCTCCGGCTCAAGAAGGAGAGAGACCTCCAGCTCAAGGGGGAGATGAGGCCTGGCTCAAGAAGGAGAGAGGAGACCTCCAGCTCAAGGGGGGGAGAGATGACTCCAGCTCAAGTGGGGGAGATGAGGCCTCCGGCTCAAGAAGGGAGAGGAGACCTCCAGCTCAAGGGGGGAGATGAGGCCTCCGGCCTGCAGCGGGAGAGGAGACCTCCAGCCTGAAAGGGGGGAGAGATGAGACCCCAGCTCAAGGGGGGAGATGAGACCTCCAGCTCAAGGGGGAGATGAGACTCCCCAGCCTTAGGGGGGAGATGAGGCCTCCGGCTCAAGGAAGGAAGACGAGCTTCCGGCTCTAGATGAGTGAAGAGAGGAGACATTTTCAGCCCGCCAGCCGCAGGGGACGATGGTAAGCCCGACTTGTGTTGAGGAATAAGCTAAAAGCAAGACGTCCGGCTTAAGGTACACCTGTACTGAAACAACATCTGTACTGGAGCAACACCTGTACTGAAACAACATCTGTACTGGAGCAACACCTGTACTGAAACAACATCTGTACTGGAGCAACACCTGTACTGGAGCAACACCTGTACTGGAGTAACACCTGTACTGGAGCAACACCTGTACTGAAGCAACACCTGTACCAGAGCAACACCTGTACTGGAGCAACACCTGTACTGAAACAACATCTGTACTGGAGCAACACCTGTACAGAAGCAACACCTGTACCAGAGTAACACCTGTACTGGAGCAACACCTGTACAGGAGCAACACCTGTACCAAAGCAACACCTGTACTGGAGCAACACCTGTACCAGAGTAACACCTGTACTGGAGCAACACCTGTAGATGTTACCGGAGGCTCTTCCCCCCTCAGATGGTCGAGCTACGGTACTTCAACTCATCAACCTGTCTATTAGTGGCCGTTTCTTCCAGGCCAATGTAGGGGGGGTGGGGACTATAGAGGGGGACTATAGAGGGGGGACTATAGAGGGGGACTACAGAGGGGGAGACTCCAGCTGGGGGGGTTTAAATGTGTGTTCGTGACCTCCTCTGTCTATAAGAAAACTTTGTTGTTAGTCAAACCTCGCCACCAACAACAGCGGAAGTAGAGCTGCCACCCCTTACTGCCGCTGGTGTGACCTTGATCGGTGAGCAGGAGGGGAGTATGTCACAGGCAGAGTGGCACACCCTCACTCCTCCTTGATTGTAGTTGATACACTTCTCCTGAGCCCTACCTTGTGTCACTGCAGACCCCGTGTTGTGGGCCACCTCACACACACAGGTAGTCTGACCACAAGACGGTAATAATCCGTTCCTTCCAGTTAGTGTGAACCTAATTCAGCTTACCATCGGATAGTCAATCTTACCAAAAAATTGAGAATAGTTGAAGGAGAATATTTTTAACTATTCAGAATTTATATGTAGGGGAAAAAATAGTTGAGGATAGTTGAAACAGGATAGTCTGTACTGTTGTTGGGAACTTGTGTGATGCGGGGAAAAATACTATGTGAGAGGGAGCTCCACACAGCGCCGGTATACACGACCTGTGATAGAGATATGTTCAATAAGTTAGAATATTGAGAGCAACGGTCGATGAATGGTGACTGGTGCCATAAAGTGTCAGGGTAACTCTGAACTGATCACTGAGAGAGAGAGAGAGAGAGAGAGAGAGAGAGAGAGAGAGAGAGAGCATCAGCTCTGACACCTTCCTCTTAGGTACAGGAAGTGTCCCGTGCCAGAGGCTCTCACCATCCACTCTCACTCTCTCTCTCCACTCTCACCCACCCCCCCACTCTCCTCCCAAGCCCTACCTCTTCCTCCACTCTCATCACCAGACCTGCCTCTTGCACGACTCTCCTCCTCCCCCCCCCTCACTTCACTCTTTCATACCTACTCTCCCGGGTGACTCCCACCACCTCTAACCCTCGTCTTATTTCGATAATAACAAATACCACAATTATTACTACAACTATTGCCTATTACTACAACTGCTGTATCATACTACAACAACTGCTGCCTCATACTACAACAACTGCTGCCTCATACTACAACAACTGCTGCCTCATACTACAACAACTGCTGCCTCATACTACAACAGCTGCCTCATACTACTACTACAACTACGACACCAGATATTAAGAAAAGTGTTCAGGGAATTTTGTCCTCAACTGTACACAAAACCTCAATAAATGACAATAAAATCAAGCCACATAATGTTGTTAAGAATCACTCTCTCCCTTCTCCTCCAAATACTCCAAAACTCCTGAAAAACTCCTCATGACACAAAAATCTAGCCTAGGAGGACGTTACGCAGCCCCGGATTTTCCCCGTTTTTGTAACACCGTATTTCAAGCAATATCATTTTGCGCGCGCTTTTTGGACAATAACTTTCCCGCGCTTTCCTGTCTCAGGATTTCCACTCGCGCCTTCCAACTACCAACATGATTCTATTCTCGCCTTTTCGACAGTTATATTCCAGTGCTTTTTGATGTTATGTCTCTCGCGCTATTCCAAGTTTTTTTCCCCTGACGCTTTTTGGCGTTGTTTTCCCGCGCCTTTGGAAGATTTTTCCCCGCGCTTTTCGTCAAATTTCCCTGCCCTTTTCCAGGATTTTTTCTTGTTTTTTTTTTCTGCTCTTTTCGTATCTTTTCCCTTCACTTTTCAAAGATTTCTTCCAGCGCTTTTCGAAACTATTTTCCCCTGCGCTCTTATAAGTTTTTCCCTGTTATATTTTTTTTCGTCGTGGTTATTATAATTATTTTCCCCTATTTCTTTCAACATTTCCTTCTTTTGACATCGTTATCTCCCAACAGCATACAATATCTTAATCATTTGAGTACGATAACTTTACCCCAGGAGGAAGATTTCCCAAATCTCTTAAGTACGATAACTTTACCTCGAAATACGAAAAGCTCATCCTCCGAGTACGATATCTTACCTTCTTGAGGACGACACAAGAACTTACATCCGGGACCTTACGTGCAGCACCTTCAGGCGGTGTGTGTGTGTGTGTGTGTGTGTGTGTGTGCTCAGCTGAACTCCGGACCCTACGTGACACAACAACAGGGTTAAGAACATCTACATCTGGTGTGTATGTATGTATGTATGTGTAGAGACACGTACACATGGAAGCCTGTATACGACACCAACACATACAAACACGCACATACACACCCATTATTCCCAGCACCGACACAACATTGAAGTAAATATATAAAACTATTGAATATTCTTCCAATCAAAACCATATACAAGTACTAATAACGATCTATTTCTTTACTAAAACACTAAGTTCTTTTCTACCAGTCCCTAAAGTATAATTAAGGGTTTATATTTATGTATCGTACTCAAGATGGAAAAAGTATCGTTTCTGGTATAATTATATTGGAGTGTCATAATAAGTAGCGGGATTATGGCTTCCGTGTTCAGGATACACTCACAGTTTGTACCCCTGGACCCAACACTGTCAAATTATAATAGTGGAGTCATTATATGCTTTGTATTTATGACCATAATAATAATGATGACTTTATTACAACTTAAATATATATATGGAAGACATAAAGGTTGTCGTTCCAGAGCGAGTATACTCAAGAGACTGTTTACACGTGTTGTCCCAATAAGTAAAAATTATCGTTTGAGCTTCAAGTAATAGCCGGGGACGTGAGGGGATCCTTGGCGACCTCAGAGCTGCTCCTACGTCGAATACCAATGTGACGTGACGCTCCCCCTCGCCCCCTTATGACGTCACGTGCGCAACACTCCTGCTGCGCACGTCCTCGACACCAGACCAACAACCTTCCCTTGTCCGGCTGCCAACTATTCCTTCTTCACCTCGACTCAAAACATCTTGACCGAGGAATAACAAACTTCCTGTACATTACTCTCCCACAGGCTCACACACACACAGCGGACGTCGACCTCCTAACCTAACTTAATTTAACTTGACCTACTTTAACCTAACCTTACATAACACCCTAACCTAACCTCACTTAAAAAATTAACCTAACCTAACAGGAAATCCCATTTAGCACAGTCCTCGCAAAGGTAATTAATCTCACTTCGATAAATAACGCTCAAATGAACAACGAAACAGGGAAGTGGCACTAGAGCGTCACACCCCCAGGAATGGTGCCTTATCTAGCATATGGCACCATAAAGTGCTACACAACCCTCACCACCACACTCGCTCTTACTCCACAGTAGTACAAGGTCGACTATTCCGTGTGAGGGAAGGGAGAGGGGGGGGGTGAGGCACTGTGAGGACAACAGGGCGTCACTGTGGCACTAACCTCCCCACTACAAGGTCACTGGAGCTGGGAGGAAGAGCGATGACCTGCCAGGAGGTCATCCCCAGCCAGGGTGACGATGACCGATTCTTCAAAGTTTACAAACATTGCGGCCAGGCTCAGGGTTGCCAATGTACTCCCATAGGTACCTGTACCCTAGGCGCAGTCTCGTGTACATAATCTGTAGGGATCGAGGCAGGGATTGATACTCTTTGTAGTGGCGGTTGTC